CATTTTCATATTATATTACTGGGCCAGCACTGCCTTGTAATAAGGCTCTACCATAAAGAGTGGTTCCATAATTGGTCACAGCAGTATCCAAACATTTCTCAGCACTTTATAATTGATGACACATCAATGAGACACACACGAGGATCGTAACAATGGATTTTTCTATTATGGGAATGTCATTTGCAATCTGTGACCAACGTTTTTGTTGTTGAATTTCTCGTCTTTTATTGTAAGAGTCGATAACTCCAGACAACATGTGACCGTTAAAATTATGTTTGAGGACAGTGAAGTATTGCTTTTCATTGGCCAAGGTGGAGTCGGAACTTGAGCAGGTGGCGCTCACTTACTGGAACAGTAGCTCATCAAGGATCCAATCTTTCTCTCCCTCTCTGTCTCTCCCCCCCCTCCAGCACCGTTACAATAGCCCCCCCTCCTACACCGCCTGCCCGCGCGGGTGCACGAGTGGCTGCTGCGGCGCCGAATCTCTCGCAGTCGCGCCGGTCGCCAGTGGACGCTGCCCGGCTGGCGGAACATGGCGGCGGCCCCGGAAGAGGAGGTAGACCGCAGACCGATCCGGAGGGTCCGCTCCAAGAGCGACACGCCTTACATCAACGAGGCGAGGATCTCTCTGCACCTGGAGACAGGTAGGGCTGCTCGCCAGAGCCGCGGATCCTCTACGCTTCGTGTCCGGGTGTATTAGCTGCTCCCACGGGGGGAGGGATAGTGTAGTGTAGTGAATCTGTGAGAGAAACTGCTTCATCGCCCAGTGACAGTTCCCACGCCGCAGCAGCATGACTTTGGGCTTTCATTGTGCAGCCTTCGCGGCACCCACAGTGCTCGGCTTTCACACTGGGTGGCCGGTAACCACACTGTGACTCATGCACCGGGAAATGGGGAGAATTCCCCACCTAAGCATGGGCGATGTACTGTATAGCAGGAGAAAACAATTAGCCCTGTAGAAGGATTGATCGCCGCCTCTCCTGCCGGACTCCGCCTCGATTGTCCGCTGCGGTGAGCTGCTGTGCGAACTTGGGCTGCTCGCTTAAAATGCTATTGTTGTTCACGCTTCTGGTGAAGGGTGGAGGAATGGATAGTTCACCGTGCTGTGCTAAGCGCGGATGCTCAAGCTCAGTTTGTCTGCGAGAGAAAACGGGCGAGATAAGTTGTTTCCCTTGTTGCCATGGTCACGATGATAACGCCGCAACGAAAGCTTGATTAGCAGCATGTCGATGCGAGTATACGGGCAGATATGCGCTCCTTCTCTCGACACTTTCTGCCTTGAGCTCCCCCATGAGAGAGGCTGCTTTAATGACACATCAGTGCGGAGCTGTCCACTGCCCCTCGGTGCTGAAATGCCACCAATGCCAAATGCAAGGAATGTGTAGGTCTCCACTGATGTTAACCCACATAACATTTATAATCGGTCTTTTTTTTTTTTAAGTATATCTCTCTCTATATATACAATGGGATATTGCATGCGGATTGCCTGTGGTCGACCCTCCCCCAGAATTTGCCGATGTGACAAATCCCAGTCACATGGTGTGCCTGGTATAGCCTGGTAGACTAGGCTCTAGATTCAACCCTATATTTTCCATTTTGGAGGAAAGAACTGTGGAAAATTACCCTCCTGCTCGGTTGTTGTTCTGCTTTGCCTGAATGATCTTATCAAACATGGAGCTCTTAGTAGGAAGCACAGCTTTCATCCAAAGGTGTACAGTAACATCTGGTTTTTGCCTGCAGCACGTGTGAGAAATGTATGCGAAGAAGCCAGACTTACATAATAAATCTTAATGAGATCAGGAATTACTCAAAAACTCGCCCTGTAATGTGCCCCCTTTTAGCCTGCTTAGACCTTTATGACTCATGCTGTTCAGACCCACCTACTCATAATCTCTCACAGCTGCCCTCTCTCTGCCCTCAACCATCTTCCTCTCCATTTTGTTTCCTATTAAAAGCAGCACCTCCTCTGAGCCAGATTAACTGACTCTCCAACTTTATAAATAACACAATTTTTCTGTTTTAAATATATCCTGGAGCCTTCTATTGGGCCATGGCTTGAATGTGAAGGAGGAGGGGGGCTGCCATGTCTTGCTAACAGTGCTGCTCCTGGCTGTTAGCTGAAAACAGAGTTGGGCAGGCTGCAGCTGCATGAGACTGGCGTGGCATCATCAACAATCCAGCGGGCACTGCCAGCTACGTCGGGAGAGCACAATTTTTCTTCACCCGTTCTGCTGGAAAATTCCATATCCTCTTCCCCCTTTTCATTGTCTCTTCCCCCATTACTTTGGTTTAATCTCATTTTCTTTTCCTGTCACCACTGAAACCATCTGCCCACTTACTCATTTGATTCCCCCCCAATTTTACTTCATGTTTTTGTGTTTAGGCTGCTGTGTGTTTTGCATAAATCTAACCCACTCATTTTCTTTGATGTGTGCCACCATGCACGTGTGACAAATATTCAAGCCAACTTCAGAGTACACACACACGTCTGCGTGTGTGTGTGTGTGTGTGTGTGTGTGTGTGTGTGTGTGTGTGTGTGTGTGTGTGTGTGCATGCCTGTCTGGTCCACATGCATGTGTGGGAGGCTGTGCTATGTGAGTACCGGGATTAGTAAACAAGAGGTTATCACAGTGGCTGCTGCCA